CATCACTTCTGCCTGAGGCTGCACCCATCTGTCTATAGATGGCTGATAGTTATACTGTATCTCTCATATATAGAGAACGAGCAACTGGCTATGCCAATTTGATTAGTCACTGGGTAGAGGCTGAGACAGACATTTTCCAGATCATCTAATCCGTAGACCTGGCATTAGTTAAGAGTCTAGGAAGTGCTTAACTCCATTTACATCACTTCTGCCTGAGGCTGCACCCATCTGTCTATAGATGGCTGATAGTTATACTGTATCTCTCATATATAGAGAACGAGCAACTGGCTATGCCAATTTGATTAGTCACTGGGTAGAGGCTGAGACAGACATTTTCCAGATCATCTAATCCGTAGACCTGGCATTAGTTAAGAGTCTAGGAAGTGCTTAACTCCATTTATCTACCTACAGATTTAGACACACGTTTATCAAAATTTGGAAGGAAAGACTGACCTGTGGTTAAAACTCTGCAATGGGACTCCGCAGTAGAGCTATCCAGAAGACGACGATTCTGTTTCCCAGCAGATTTTGAATTTTGTTTTGTTCTACAATGGAACAAAAACAATATTTTTAATGATGTTGGAAAAAACAGAATTGTTAAGAAAAGGTAGTGGGTTTTTTATGTCTATCACCTGGTGGCTAGGAGAGTGACCTGGAATGTGGGAGACCTAGTTTCAAGAACCTGTTCTGACTGATTTTGAAGTAATCTGAGATGACAAATTATGTTCTGTATTGGGTGGGAATTCCACATTATAGGCACTGCCCAAACTATTAAACTGTAATCTCCCCCTACCAAAAGTTTCTCAATTAGAGTTTTAGAGAAATAGACACATCACCGCTGTAGCTATGTCAGTCCCAGGATATTAGAAAGATAAGGTGAATGAGGTAGCATCACTGGATCCATATCTTCTGGTGAGAGAGAGGAGCTTTTGGACCATATGTGGGTTGTAGGACTAAGAATTGCCATGTAGATATTCTGGCTTAGGCTAGAGCCTGAATTTTGGGAGACTCTACTTTTGCCTGTTGTTCAATGTAATGACATTCTACTGCCATTTCATGCTCACTGGCTATATGAGACATGGAAAGAAAGCTGACCTGCATTTGTTAGGTTTCACCTATTCTCAATATTTATTGGACTTTTCAATATTTATATATTTTTTCCAGATGAAGGGTTGCATAAAAGTGTTAAAGGAACAGCCTCCGGATACAGTAGAAGGCCTTCTGAATGCTCTCAGGTATGTACAGCAGTAGATACAATAGGATAGTACAAAGTAATCAGGCCATATGGTAGGAAGGAAGAAAGACACGTAGAGCCCTGCAAATGTCCACTTTATATACACGGATATCCACATATGTGAATGCAGATATCTGTGCTCTTTTTTTATGGATATGGACGTGGATACAAATTTTGTATCCATGCAGGGCTTGAGACACATGCCACATACCTAAGGTAGGTAGATGTACTAAAAGAGGATTACAAATTTTGATTATTACTAAGCAAAATTAATGAGATTGTTTTGAGAGCATGGAGATAAAATGCATGAATGGTAATGGAACCACTGGCTGTCTTCTATAAAATATTAATATCAAACCATACAATTACAACATCCATTTTATGTTCCAGCAGTAGCTTTGTTTTTCATATGAAAGCTGAAGAAACCATGTTTAATATACATAAACCTACTACAGTTAGTAACATTTCATATTTAACTTGAAGTACAGCAAACAAAACTGTGAAGATGTCCTAATTCATGTTCACTTTTTGTATATTACCATTCACTTTATATTCATAATTCCTAGGTTCACTACAAAACATCTGAATGATGAATCTACTTCCAAGCAAATTCGAGCTATGCTTCAATAGTTTCTTCTGAGACAAGTGAACTTGTGTATTGATCACAGAAGATGTGTATGTTTACATAATTTAATACAGATTGATGTTAATACTTGTATGTTCTTCATGTCACTGAAATCTATTAATCTTATTCATTACATGACTGATTTTATATAGCACAATCTCTATTTACGCATCAGCCTTATCTTTTGACATTTTACTTCAGCTACATGCTATAATAGTCTGCTGTTTGTATTTTATCCATATATGCTGCCTCTTTTACAAAAATAAGCAGCAGTAAGGACAAAATGAAGGTCAAATAGACTAAACCATAGGTGTGCAACCTTGAAGGAGAAATTTTAATATGAATTAAAATAAGAGATATTGTCTATTCATTTTTACTGGGCCATTTAAAACTAAATTTCCAACTACAAAAGTTTTCCATTTTTTTTTCTGGAGTGAAAGTCATTTGACTGTTCAGTACCATTGCATGAGACCTAACATATTTTATCAGTTACTGCTGATTCTGGCCTGGCAGATGACAACCAACAGATTATCTTGCCACAGAAGACATTTTGTCTCTTTGGTTTATTACGTCAACCTTGTCATTCCACAGTGGAGAAATTAATATGCTGTTTCAGGTTCAATATATTTTCTTGTAAAATGCAGTTGAATACTGTCCTTCGAATCCAGCAAGTTTGATTAATGAAACCTAATGCCTGAAGCTTGGAGAATAATAGAGAAATACTAACGTTCGTTAGAAAATGTTTGGTCGTGTAGCTATGACAATGAACTACCCTAACAGGGAGACAATTTATACCAATTAAAGAATTATTTTGCCAATATAGCTTATGTGAGTTTCCCCAAATAGATTCTGAGGGTCTGTCTACACTGAAAAAAAAACAACCCACCTGCATCTGGCCCACATCAGCTAACAGTCTTAAAGCACATGAGCTGCAGGCTGTAACATTGCACTGTAAATGTTGGGTCCTGACCTGGAGTCCAGGACCATGTCCTCTCAACAGGTCCCAAACCCTGGGTTCTAACCCAAGCCCAAATGCCTGCACTGCAATTTTCTAGTCCCAATCCCTGCAACGTGGGCCGGATGCATGTCTCTTGTTGTAGTATAGACATACCTTAAATGGGCCAAAAGCATTTTTGTTAGTATAACTGTACTGGAGCTTTATACTCGTATAAAAATATTGTTAAGACTCTTACCCCTAACTGACATCACAGCAAGTTTCTAGCGCAGACCTGGTGTCAGTAGATCGGGAATCATACAAAGGAGAGTTTGACTGTTTGAAAGTTAGGCTATTTGTGAACTCGTTTACAGTCATACTCCTATATAGTATTTTTTATCAACTAAAAACGTGAAAACTGAGACTTTCAGTTGCTTACTTAGCCCGTGTTTTCACACATTTGATACTTTCAAGAAGTTGAGTTGTTCCTGTTGAAGGATTAGAGGTCTTTTGCCAAAACCAGCAAAATACTCTTCTGAATGTCTGAGTGACTTGCAGCAGCTGTGAATTTTCTAGTGAAGAGGATCACATTTTCAAAAATGTGCACTAAATTTTTCATGCTTGGCTTACATGTTTTCATGTAAACTCTAAGGCATGTGCATAAATCCTGACTTATGTATCTGTATACATTTGCAGTAACTGGAGTTTTCATGAATGTACTTCAGAAAATGTCTCTCTTAAATGTTTTGGAGGTGTATTGCTATGTACTAGAAACTGTACTGCACTGCTACAAAGCTATTTATCAATGTTGATTCCTAGGCAGTATTTAGTTTGTAAATTCCCTCGGGTAGGGATTGCCTTCTGTTTTATATTTGCACAGTACTTATTACTCTGAGGCCTCAATTCTGATTGAGGCCTCTAGAAACTAATGTAATACAGATAATAATGCTTATGACTGTAATATATTACTGCTGCTGCTGAGTACTCAAATGTCATCAGAAACAGAATAGATTGGTTTGGTTTGGTTTTTCCCAGACCTAATAATGTCCCTAATGTATTTAAGACGTATTACTGTTTAATATAGGGATATTTACCAATGTACTTGGGGGGAGGAGGGGAGTACTTTCACCATTGTCAGCTAAATGGACTGCAGATCTTGCAGTGGTCCTGGTGGATTTTTTTATTTGCTAAATCTGCTAAAGTTAATACTTGTCTATCTGTAATTATAACTGTTAAACATTAAAATATTTTAAGAGCCAAAAGAGTAGGGCCGTGTAGTAAAGAAAATCGTAATCCTAAAAGCAGTCTTAAAGTCGTGATGTGCTGTTTGCAAATGTCAATGCATTTCTTTGCCTGGTGTGACAGGGCTTTTTGTACAGAAGTTTGTTTGAAGTAATAAAAAGTTTGGTACATTCACAACATTTGGGTTGTCTGTATATTTACATGGGTAATAAGAAAGGAGAATATGGATTGACATTTAAATGTTCCATTTAATATCACCAATATACCCAATTTATAAAAAAGGTTATACTTTTTATATCAGTAATAATACAGATACTACAGTTGTTAGATACTTGAACAGTTCTGCTGGTTGAATGTATCCTATATAAATATTCTTGGTGGAATTATGCATCATTGTTCAATAAAGAATTTGTGCAGAAACTAAATGTTAGGCTCAGAATTTCCATTCCCCCAACAGAAATTGACTTCTGAGTTGCTGGCCGCCATTAGGGAGTGGTATGCCCAGTCCCAACTCAGAAATAGAAGACACTGTCATAGGGAGTGAGAGGGATCTGGAGGGTTCTTGGCAGCCACAGTTCCCACCATGCCATGAAGGAAGGAGTCAGCCTAAATGAAACTCCATACAAACCCAGAACCCACATCAGGATGTTTCTCCCTCTGGATCCCTAGGGTTGGGGTGAGGTGAGAGATGGTCGGTGCATGTAAATGTCTGGGCTGAGGGGGCACAGGTGAGCTCTAGATAGTAAGAGTTCTAGGAGTCTGGGTTGGAAGGAATCTGCAGCTGGCCTTTGGGAAGAAGGGTTGCGGGTGTCTCGCCTCCAGGCCGAGCTCTGGAGGAGGGGGGGGTATAGAAATAGTAACTGAATTGTAGGTGTTTCCTTAACTCTCCACTCCTTGGATATTTTGTGTGTGCGCCTGTATTTTTGGACATAGCTGCTGACAAGTATTTTGAAATAAATTACCAAAACAATTGAATCTGGCATAATTATATAGTATTATTTTGACACAATGTTCAGAATTTTGCAGAATTATAAAATTGTGCACAAAATTTTTATTTTTTAAATGTAGAATTTCCCCAGAAATATATAATATACCTTCAAGTACTTGTACATGTCCATTGTGTGTGTGCTTGCCACATGCACTGGTGCTAGAAGCTTTTCCCTCAGTGGTATCTATCGGGAACTGGCTCTGGTGTTGTGTGGATTAAGGATGTTAACATGTGGTTGTCAGGCTAATTGTATAGTTGATAGGATTGTTCTACAGAGCAGAGCAGGGGTAGCTGTGACCGAGCAGTCCCGGATTTTGTTGGCTCTGGAAGCCACCTGCGCTGTGGCACTGCATTTTGAATGTAGTCAAAGCCACTGAGTTCTTACTACATTTAAAATGGAGAGGCTCAGTGATCAGCGTGAGCTGGGACGGCTCGGTTCCGGCTCGCGCTGAGTCCCGCAGCCCCAGTTTACAATGGACAGCCCTGTCTGCCGCAAACGGGGGCGGGTGCTGGAACAGCCCCTGTTCCCCGTGCACAAGGCTGGCCACCACAAACAGAGGCCTCTCTGGCACCAGCTCCTGTTCACAGCAGCCAGGGCTGGATGCTGATAAGGGCTGCTACTGGAACAGCCCCTGCCCGATGCTAGCCCTGGCTCCCATGAACAGGGGTTGCTTGGTGGCAGCAGCCCCTGTCCATGGAAGGGGGGGGCAGCTCTCCACTGAGACCCCTGCAGACAGGGGCTACTTTGCAGCAGCCTCCTCTATCCCCCTCCCCACTGCCTCTCAGAGTCAGCATGGGGGGAGCAGGTGGCACCCTGGAGACAGTACTAGGGGGAACCGGCTTGTAATCCAGCTCCCCCCCCCAACACCAGCACATGTTCCCTGCCCCCTTGCTGCCTCTCAGATAGGAAGCAAGGGGGCACTGCAGGGAGTATGTAGTCAGCGGGGACACAAGCAGTCCCCCGCTCCTCCATTTTCCAACTGCAACTGTTTTAATGGGGCTCTTGTACATTTCAAAGGCTGAAGCAGCCATAGTTGTAATTGGTGCAAGTGGGGGGTCTGTTTCAATCCCCTCTTGTGCTGTTTCCCTGCTGTGCCCCTGCCCTCCCCCCATGGATCCCTGGAAGGATTGCAAAGGGAAGATCTCCCACTCCCTGTAAGGGAGAGGAGAGCCAACACCTGTTCTGGGCAGCTCAGTGCCTCAATCAGGGTATGTCTACACTACCCTCCTAGTTCGAACTAGGAGGGTAATGTAGGCATACCGCACTTGCAAATGAAGCCCGGGATTTGAATTTCCCGGGCTTCATTTGCATAAGCGGGGAGCCGCCATTTTTAAATCCCTGCTCGTTCGAACCCCGTGCCGCGTGGCTACATGCGGCACGGGGTTCGAACGAGCAGGGATTTAAAAATGGCGGCGCCCAGTTTATGCAAATGAAACCCGGGAAATTGAAATCCCGGGCTTCATTTGCAAGTGCGGTATGCCTACATTACCCCGCTAGTTCGAACTAGCGGGGTAGTGTAGACATACCCCTAG